AAAAATGGCCTGAAGCTCAACATCAAAAAAACTAAGATCATGGCCACTGGCCCCATCACCTCCTGGCAAATAGAAGGGGAAGATACGGAGGCAGTGACAGATTTTACTTTCTTGGGCTCCATGATCACTGCAGATGGTGACAGCAAGCCATGAAATTGAGAGATGTCTCCTTCTTGGGAGGAAAGTGGTGACAAACCTAGACAGCATCTTGAAAATTAGAGACATCACCTTGCTGACAAAGGTCAGCATAGTCAAAGCTATGGTTTTTCCAGTAGTGATGTATGGAAGTGAGAGCTGGACCATAAAGAAGGCTGGCCGCTGAAGAATTGATGCCTTTGAATTGTGGTGCTGGAGGAGGCTCTTGAGAGTCCTCTGGACTGCAAGGAGAACAAACCTATTCATTCTGAAGGAAATCAACCCTGAGTGCTCACTGGAAGGACAGATCCTGAAGCTGAGGCTCCAGTACTTTGGCCATTTCATGAGAAGAATCCTTGGAAAAGATCCTGATGTTGGGAAAGTGTGAAGGCAAGAGGAGAAGGGGATGACAGAAGATGAGATGGTTGGACAGTGTCATCGAAGCTACCAAGATGAATTTAACCCAACTCTGGGAGGCAGTGGAAGACAGGAGGGCCTAGCGTGCTCTGGTCCATGGGGTCACGAAGAGGCGGGCACGACTAAACAACTAAACAACAACAACAAAGCTGTCTTTTTCGTAACAGAAAAGGAAACTGTAGAAGGGGTCATGGTGTTACTCTGTGCAAACATCATAGGTGAAAACAACAGAAAAATTAAAAAGGCAAAAACGTGGTGGGCACCTGAAAGACTATTGTATTTTTTTTTTCACTAATGGGCAAATCCACTTGATCAGACATTTTTGTCGACGAAAGCTCGCCTTAAAAATTAAAAAAAAGTCTTTCAGGAGGCCACCACTTTTTTTAAAAATTATTTTTTTACTTTTGATTTTGTTCCCATCGAGGAAGAAAAAAAATGTCAGCGAGAAGCTCTTTGGTTTCAGGAAGGGGGGAAAAAAACCACCCATCCCAACCAAGGGCAACCAGAGTGAAGCTACGTAACGCCGCTCCCAACCTCTCGGCAAATTGCATCAGCTCTCAGCAACCCACCTCCCCAACCGCAGCCCGGAACCTCGGGGGAAGCCCTGCTGGGAATGCGCCCCGCTCCCTCGGCGGCCCTTTCCTAAATCCCTCCCCCCCCATGCGGCCGAAAAGAGGGCTCGTCCACAGAGATGGAGGGGGGTCTTTCCTCCGTGTGGGCCTCCCCCGCGTGCTCATACGCACCCACCCGCGTCCTCCTCGCCTATCCCTCCTCTCTCCCCCCCCCGCTCGCTGCGAGAAAGTGGACTCGTCCAAGGCCCTCACATGACGATGGAGGCAGTTTCGCTTTCCCGGGGAAAGCTCGGAGGTATATAAAGGCCCGGCCGCGGGTTGACAGCGTCGACTGGACGCCGCCGCGTGGGTGCCTAGAAGGGGAGCGCGCGCGCACGCATACCTGCCACGCGCCTTGACAGCGCGAGCCAGCCGGCCGGCCCGCCAGCCCGCGCGGTGTAACCTGAAGCCCCCCCCCACTGGTTTAAAAAAGACGCCCAGCCTTTGTGCCTTAAAAGGAAGGACGGACAGGCGGGCGGGAGGGAGGCCACGGACCTCAGCGGCTGCGGGAAGCTCTTCTTTCCCGAGAGATTTCTCTCTCCATCTCTCTCTCTCTCTCTCCTTCTTCCTCCCCCCCCCATTTTCTTCTCCTCAAAAGCAAAGGAAAGCAAGCAAGGCTCGACCATGAATGGGACGCTGGGAGACCTGCACGACTACATCCTGAACGAGGACGAAGGGGCGTTTATGTTTACTTCCGAGTCGGTGGGAGAAGGGCATCCAGGTAAAGGGGGATCGGGGATCGGGGCCCCGGCGCTGCTGCTGCTCCGTCTCCGCGGGGCTGCCAGAAAGAAGACCGGGTGGGAGGGACAGCCGTGCAAGGGTTAGGAGGAGCCGGAGTTAGTGCTGGAGGTCGTGACCACCACGGTGGGTGCTCGTAGAGCAAGGCTCTCGGCTCCCCTTCCGTGGCCTTTCTTGATGATCGGGCTTTGACAATAAATCGGTCCCTCTCGCTGCAGACGGGATTGAGAAGATTCCCTCTCCTTCCTTCCATGTGCCTCCTTGTGAGAAGCCTTAGGACTCTTATGAGAAGCCTCATCATGATGACGACGACGATGATGATAGAGGGAAATGTACTGATGGACTGCTCTTATTCCAAAGCACTCAACGGGGGTTGCATTTATTCAAAGACGTGAGACAAAGAAAAAGGGACGGAGTTCTCAGTTTGTGACTTTTGCATGCGCCTGTTCCGCAGGCTCATTGATAGGTTTGGCCCTGAAAGGGCAGAGAGCCCAGCTAAACTCTGCTTGAAAAGGCTCCTCAGTGACATGTGGGCCAAACCTAGGCATGTTGACTAGGAATTCCCTCCTTGAATCTCACTGAAGCCTTAAGTCCAGTTACTTGAGCGATGACTGCAGGTCTCTGGCATCTGTCAGTAGGATTTAAAAGTGCCAGCCCTTGGCCTTGTCTATTGTAGTGGGGAATCCAGGACACAGCAAATTTTTAAAAATACAGTAAAACGGCGCCAAATATACTGTTCTCAGATCTTTTTTAGAGCTTGGGAAGGTTGGCTGGGGCATTCTGGAAGTTGTAGCAACATTTCTAAGCTCTGGACCTACTTTTGGCGGTGTACTTCGTCAGCCAAAGTACTTCATTAGACAAATTCCTGTAGTTTCTAAGGAAAACTCATGTGTAATGAACACCTTCTAGGTGTTTTTAGATCAGGCTCATAAGGAGCACTGGTGTTCTTCTGTAATGATGGTAGAAGTTACTTTTTTGGGCTATAACTTCCAGAGCAACCTGTTCTCTGTAATTTCCCAGTCTCTTGCTGGTTTGTAGCCTTAGGTGGGAGCTGTACTAATTTTTCTTGGACTGTACGTTCTCTACCTTGTGGACTTCTTCCTTGCACTTACTGTATCAGGAAACTGTAAATCATTGCCCCAGCAGCTGCTCAGGACAGTAGTAGTTCAGATTGCCTGTCCCTCTCTCCCTCCCTCCTGCCTCCTCAACAACAAGAGATTGGCTTGTTTGGAGTAATTTCCTAATACTGTACCTGGAAAAAGCAAAACAAATTATTGATTTTTTAAAAAACCCACAGAATTGTGTAAGCTAACGGTGGATTGCTTTTTGCCAAATTCCTGACGTTGCAATTTGAGTTTATTTTATCTGCTACATATGAGAACACCAGGTACCTGCTAAAAGCAGGTGCAAATAGACAGTGTTCCTTTGTACAAGGCCGACTGGCCAAGCAGGGGCGGGGAGAGCAATCAGAGTTGTTTGATACCCTCCAATGTGCCTTTTGGCATCATAAGGCTCAAGGGCTTTCCATTGGATTATGTTGCAATCAGCAGATGTTTATAAAAACAACAACAGAAAGACTATCCTAGGGGGGCAGTCTGGGGCGTGGTGTTCTGGACCAATAGCATTTGGTAGCTCACATCTTCTGCCCCTTATGTTGACGGAGGGAGGTGGAACTTTGGAAGATTCTTCCCAGCCATCATTCATGGAAAGCTTCAACACCATTGCAACTCTTTGGTCAGCAATCTGATTGTAGGGTCTCCCCCATCCCACCCAACCCCAAAAGGGGTTGTTCTGAGATTTGGTTTGTATTCATATGTTCTCACTCTGCCAAAATCCCACTCTACACACTCACATAACTAAACGGAGGGATCACTGGTAACTCTGAAACTGCCCAAACAATGGTTTTCAAATTTTTAAAAGCAAACACCTTTTTTGATAAGCCTAAAACCCACACGTCCAGCTTCAAATCTTGTCTTCCCCACCAACAATTTTATTTTAAACTTGAATTTTCTCAGCTAAGAACAAATCATGGTGTTCTGTTAGTTATATGCATTCCTGCACATCACAGAATTATACAATAGGCGTTGTACTACAAGTGCAATGGATTATTTCCCCCACATTGCATTTTCTCACTTTTAAAAAAAGTTGAAAATGTATTGTTGTTTTGTTAATGATGCATGTGTCCTTTGATATCTTGGTGTTCCACCTGGTGAAAGACAGCCCATTGGTTGAAAATTACCTTATGGCATGAAAGGATAAGTTCAGTAAGAAAAAAAATAGCTAAAAGAGGCCTGTTAAGAGTCAAAAGGTGGCACCCAGCTTCTGCTATTTTGACTCCATGGTGGGACTTTGGATTTAGTGGCTTGTTCTCTTCTTTCAGCTTCCCTAGACCTAGACGAGTTATGCTGTCTTGTTCTTAAGAAAGTGAGACAAGATTCCTCTATATAGTAGATGTCACTGTGTTCTAATTTTATTCTTCTTGCTCCCATACATTAACTGGGAATTTTGTACTTGCTCCTATGCTACAAAAGAATGAAATCTGTCTATGACACAAGAGATTTTTTTCTGTCTTGGTAGAAAGGATCTGGACAAATAACCAGCTTATGTAAAGGTGTTTGGATCAGTATTTATTTGCTCACCAGTCTTGATGCCAAAATGCTGTCTGGCCTTGTCTCTTACCGTGTTTTATAGACATTTGGACTCATATTTGAGTCTTTAAATGTTTAAGGATAGAAATTTCAGACACTAACCTAATTAATTTTTTTAAATGGGCCTCTCTTCTTTTGTTCTCCTCTATTTCTGTATCTTAATCTAAGCCTGATTAATTTTCTAAGTATTTTTGATGTCAGATCAGTGATGGCCCATTCCCATAAGCAAGTCAGTTAGTGATTAATATGAACATATGGATTATAAATTTTAATGGCCTTTCAAGACATAAAAGCCCTCAGAAGAGGGTGCAAAGGGTTCGAAGAGAGCCAAATAACATAAATTTCACAATATATTTTTAAAAAATGCAAATCAGTACTGGAGATATCAGTGAATAAAATGTAGTTTGGAATTTAAAATCTTCAATATTTCGGTTAAAAAGCAATAACAATGAAACCTTGCAAAATTATTGAAACTGGTATGTGTGAGGCTACTGCTAAGAAAGTTCTGCTGATGCAACATATCTAAGGTAACGAGATGGGCATGAACCACAGCTTGGCAATTCAGTTCAGTTTGGCGCAATATTTGCAGAGGTGTTCCACAAGTGCTGTGCACCCCCCTCTCCCACCACCTCTTTGCGCTCACCCATTCCCCAGGTGAACCTGCACTTCCCTCCCCACCTCCTCAGCATGTTTGCTCATTCACCAATTAGTGTGTGCTTCCCTCTTCTATTTTCTCTGGTGGCCACTAAAGCAGCAATTTGTACCCTTCTTTAGTTAAAATTTATAGGTTTGGAAAATGTGATTAATAGATTAAAAGAGATCAAAGATAAGATGGAGATATCCCTTAAGTAGATTGGGTAGATAAGGATAGAATAAGGAGGTTTATTTAGGACGGACTTATTTGAATAATATATAAGTAATAATATATAATAAGTGAAGTATTACAAAAAGAAGTGGGAAATGTTATAAAAGAAAAAGAACAGGTGTTGTTAAATAAGGATAAAGCAGATATAATATTTTTACAAGAGACTCGTCAGACGAAAGAAGGTGTAAATGAACTGAAACTGAATTGCTCTGGTGTTTATGAAAAAGCTAGCTATTAGCATTAAATGTGATTACAGAGAAGCCACTGCTGGTTGGATAGCTCAATGGTTTACACAGTCATGGACGAAAATATTGGCACCCTTGCAATTCTGTCAGAAAATGCAACCCTTCTCTCAGAAAATTGTTGCAGTTGCAAATGTTTTGGTACTCACATGTTCATTTCTTCAGTTTGCATTGGAACAACACACACAAAAAAAAACTGAGAAGAAAAGTCAAATCTGATACAATCCCACACAGAAACCCATAAATGTGTTATAAAAAGTTATTGAGGGTTGGGAAACTTGGCTGTTTGTTATTTACTTACTTATTTTTTTAAAATGGTTAATGAGGAGTTGTAATATCAGCCTACAAAAGGTCTTTCTGTAGTAATGTAACACACATGCCTCCTGGTCACTCTAATGCAGGGGTCTCAAACTGTGGCCCTCCAGATGTTCTTGGATTTCAACTCCCAGAAATCCTGGCCAGCAGAGGTGGTGCTGAAGGCTTCTGGGAGCTGTAGGCTAAGAACATCTGGAGGGCCACAGTTTGAGACCCCTGCTCTAATGTTTTGGATTATATCTCTCATCAGTTACAGACAGCTTCACTGGTGTTAAGATTTTTGGGGAATTGTAGGCTAAATCTGGAGGACCAGAGGTTTTCCACCTCAGTCTAGCTGGACAGAGACGAGAAGAAAAACATGTTTTGGATTGACAGTTTAATGGATTCAAAATATTTAAGGTTATTTTCACCTGTGTAACAGAAAGCAGCATTTGCTTTGTTTATGTTGCATTGCAATGTATACTCTACCTTTGCCAGAAGGCTCTTTTGCATTACAGATTTCCAGAGAGGTGATACTTCTAGTCTGTATACTACTACACCAAAAATAGTAAAATTCCTATGCTTCTTAATTTTTCAGTGTTAAGAATGCTTGACCCCACTGCACAGCCACCACTTCTTCACTAGATCCTTGCCCAGCCTGGTTACTGAAGGAGGCCAGGCCTATAACAGTACAGTGGGCTACTGTCATTATCAGTGGGTCTCTCCTGGAGGGCAGGGTGCCCATTGCCCTCGAGGAGACGTTCATTAGACCAATTCGCAAAAAGCTCAATTTGGTGGTGGATGACATAAACAACTACAGATCCATCGTCAATGTCCCTTTCATTAGCAAGCTGGTGGAAGGACTGGTGGCTGATCAGCTTCAGGCACTTCTGGACAAGACCAGTGCCCTGATCCATTCCAGTCCAGGTTCAGGCATGACACGGAGACGGCATTGGCCACCCTACAAGATGACCTTTTGAAGGAGGCCGACAAGGGCAAAATATTCTTGTGGGTCCTCCTCCTATCAGTGGCCTTTGATACTGTTGGAATCTCAGGTAGTGTCTGTGGTCCACACTGCCTGTTTCCACCTAAGGTGGATTGCCCAGCTGCATCCCTACCTTGACATCGGGTCCTTCACCACACTGGTCCATGCACTGATAGTCTCGAGATTATACTACTGTAATGCTCTCTACCTGGTGCTGTCCAGGAGACTTCAGCAGGTCCAGAACTCTGCTCCCAGATTATTGAGTGGGGTGAGAAGATATCAACATATCTCCCGACCCTGGCAGAAATGATGGAGATCTTGACAAAAATAATATAGTATAGCATTCCTTGCTTGACTCTTTCCTATTGCAGAAGAATCTTGCAGGGCTTGAAAATTCCTTATTGAGGTTCTCATCAAATCAAGACAGCTTAATCCAAGAGAGTTAAAAAAGAAATTAGGCAGTGCTTTATACATACCCACTATTATGTTGGAGCCAGCCCTGTCTTTCGTATTGTGGTTTACCACTATCTGAATGAAAAATTCTGGAGGCCCCCTTTCCTAATAAAACTTACTCCTTGAGACTTCTGTGTGTTAACCAGGACCATAATAATCCCTGGTTTGTGCAATTCCATCTAAACTGGAATGTTGTGGGAGCTGTAGTTCTTTAAAAAAAAACAAAACACAAAACCAACTTTTCCTATTTCTGAGTTATTCCTTCTCTTCCTCCATTTGGTGGAGCATCTTCAAGGGAATCAGCACCTGCTCTGCAAGACTCCCAGTTGGAGCCTGTCTCTGCACAAAACAGCTGAGCCAGAAGGTTAAGGAGAAATTCATTTCCAAATAGATGTCATTGCTCTGCATATCAGAGAAGCACAGTGCAACTGAACTTACAGTAGCTGACAGTTCTTAGGTTGGTGATTTAAGGGCAACTGCAGCGTGTAGCTGTACCTCATGCAGCAGCTGCTCTTGGCATGATACAGATTACATTCACATTTTGGCCACGTACCACATGGGTGTTCTTAGTAGCAGCTTCTCACGTCAGTACAGTATGTCTCTTCTGCACCGTGAGCTAACGGGCATGGGGTGATTTGCTAGCATTGATTTCCCCGAAGTCCTGGGTCAGATAACTGCTGTTAACAGCCGCAATTCTTGCAAGCAAGACCAAGCTGACAAGCCATTAAGTGAGTCGTACATGACGGCAACTGGAATGCATGCATGTCTGTTTTCTTTAGGAACGCATGCTTCTCAGTCCAAGAGGTGTGCTGTGTATGTGGTTACCAAGGCTCTGAAATCCAACCTACATTGTGCACTGCACTGAAATAGGGCTGTAGACTTCATTTTGCCTTCCCCACCTCACTGGAAAATGGATAGTCTGTAGCATTCAATAAACCCTACATTTTTCAGTCCTAGGAAATGCTTATACAGTATAGCACTCATGTCCACATACAGTAGTACCTCGGATTGCGAAATGGATCCATTCTACGTGGCATTACATAGTATGGAAATTTCACAAACCGAAAAGCCAATTGCGCTACGAAAGGGGCAGCGCTCTAGGCGAAATGCGTAGTATGAAAACAAGAAAACAACATAAACCAGGGCTTTATTTCTTATGAATTTTGGTTCGTAAACTGAAAGTTATGTAAACTGAGGCATTCGCAAACCGAGGTACTACTGTACCTTCCCTTATGAATTGGAGCCATGAAATATGATAAGCATTTGTGCATTTCCAAACAGTAAGAATAAACCTGTGGGAGCTGACTGAAATAAATAGAGGCCCAAATCCTGTCACTTAGTGTGTACTGTAAATTGCACTGGAGTGGGTGCATTGAATCAGTGGGGATTTGGTGAGTCGATTCCTCCATAAATTCTGTTGATTGAACGGGCTTACTCTAACTGCAATTTATTATGCTAAAGTAAGTCACCACTAGCATAAGCCCATTTGAACCAATGGAACTTATGGAGCCTTACCAAATCCTCATTGATTCAATGGGCCTACTCTAGTGTAATTTACCATACTAAGCAACAGGATTATGGCCAGACTATTCTTGTCCCAGGAGCAAATGTGGCTAAAATAAATAGAATCTCCCTACCCCAACTATTTGGAGTTGCATTTTATCATTAGCTGTTGACTTCAAGAAAAACTGCAATAGGAACAAACACAACTGCTATAATAATACAAATAAATCTGAAGGCAGGGACAGGGAATCTTTCACCTTATAGATACTTCAGACTTCAGTTCACAGAAGCCTCTGCTGGTGTGCTCAGTGAGAAAGGGCTATGGGTGTTCTACCAGCATCCAGAAAACGTTTCCTACACTTGTCTTAAGATATATATAAAACCTATTTGGGATTTTCTTCACTGAGTCAGTTTTGAATTTGATGAGAGGCCAACATGATTTTTTTCCTTGAAACTAACTGTAATGTGATTTTTGGGCAGCAAAGAACTCCACATTCAGAGCCACTTCAGATATGATCTGTAGAGTGCCGTATAATAACAGCTCTCAATTAAATAATATACTTACATTTGCATAAACCTAGATTGGGATCAATCCCTTGAGACTCATTTATTGGGATGAGGTATGTTCAAAAGCTATGTTAGAACCTTGTTTTGCTACAGAGATATTTATCTTCGAGCATGAAGTGGACCTTGTACAGAATCTTTTTCTGTATGGTTGTGTTTTTCTTTTCCTTTGGCAAATGACTGATCATGGGCAGGCTCCTTTTGCCTTTTTTTTTTGTCAGGGAATAAGTCGTGGCCATGGCACACTGACTGTCAGTTCCTAGGAGCAGTAGTTCAAAAGGTCTCCCAGAATTTTTAGGTTCTGGATTTGAGATACCTTCAGATACCCATGTCATGACAAACAGCCCGTTATTTTATGACTTTTCTCTCTAAATACTGCCTTTTCTCTTTCAGACAAGATCTGTGATCAGATTAGTGATGCTGTCCTTGACGCCCATCTGAAACAAGATCCAGATGCTAAGGTTGCTTGCGGTAAGAAGCCAGTGACTTCTTCCCATAATAAACGCTTGACTTCCATTTGACAGCAAAATACTTGTCATTCCAAGAGGCAGTGGTGATGGGTGGAAGTGAAAATCCTATGTTTTGCAGGGACTGTTAGCAACAGCTTCCTCCTGCCCAGCTTGGTTCTAGACTGCACCTCCCTTACCTTTCTCCTTGTAGCAGCCAATGGGAGCCACTGAAGCTCTGTGTTCCATTCTTTCACCATGCTTGACCATGACAAAGAAAGAACCAAGAAAGTGGCCATTATGCATACACAATTGAGTTTGCACAAAGAAATACTTGGGAAGGAAGAAGGAAAAAAAGAAAGGCGGGGCAAAGGGAAGGAAGTGCTCCATTGGCTGTTCCATTTGCACTCCCATAATTTCTTTGCCAGTTCCCACTTGAGGAATTGTTGCTCTTGCTCAGCAGAAGACTGCCCCCTTGATGGGTTCCTGCTAAAACTTAACCTTTCTTTCACTCTACAGCTGTCTTGGTGGGGAGACAAATATAGCTACAAATATAGACAAATACAGATTCTGGGAGACAAATATAGCTACTTTTACTGTAAATGTGACCTTGTAGCAGCCTTGTAGTACAGTGGTGCCTCGCATTACGACGTTAATTTGTTCCAGCAAAATCGCTGTAGAACAAAAACGTCGTAATACAAAAATAAAAAAACCATTGAAACGCATTAAAACCCGTCCAGCAAAGATCCTCCATAGGGCGGCCATTTTGGGTGGCTGTCTTGTGAGGAATCTGTCCCAGAAAACAGCGGGGAGCCATTTTATTTAGCCGGTGGCCATTTTGAAACCGCCGATCAGCTGTAGGAAAATCATCGTTTTGCGAAGAATAGGTTCCTGAAGCAGGGAACCGATCATCACAAAGCGAAAAAAAGCCTATTCAGACCATTGTTTTGCGATCACAAAAGCAATCGCAAAAATGTTGTAATGCGGTTTCATCGTAATGCAGGGCAATCGTAAAGCGGGGCACGACTGTACGTTGTGCTCTATTTATTAATTTGTTACATCTTTTCTTTCAAAAATACAAAATGGAGCACACAGCCTGTGTTTCTTTTTTATTCTCACGGCTACCATGTGAAGTACTTTAGGCTCATATTAGGAGGCTCAATATTATCCAGTGATGTTGCCCCGTGTGGATTTGAACCCAGATCTCCCAAGTTCTTTCCAACACTCTAACCATGCATGCCGTTACACTGCCTCTAATGATCAGGCTGTATATTACAGGGAGCACATTTTTAGAAACTGAAGGCTGTTAGTATTAAAGACATTGGATTGCAATAGGCTTGTGTTCCTTAATAATCATACTTACAAATAGACTGTGTGTTCACCTACTGATCACCAATTACAAAACAGCTCATTTGTCAACTATGGGATATGTGAGAAGTTTGTGCTCTGCAATCATACATTTTCAGCACTTAAGGAGTTCTTGCTTTTCACAACATTCTGTCTATCTCATATACTTTGATCCTAAGTGTTGGGTGCATGCAGGGAAAGACCTGGTTTCAAAACCCTGTCCAGCCATGAAACTAATTCAAGTCAAGTCATTATTTCTCAGCTTAACTCAGGAGTTAGAAGCATGTGGTCTCCCAGATCATGTCATTTTTGACCATTGTGGTGGCAGGCTGACACTTAGAGGACTAACTTATGTTTTAGGATTGTTGTAAGGATAAACAGGAAGTGATCGTGTCCTCAGCTTTCGGGAAGAAGAAGAGAAAATAATGATAAATTTAAGAATCACTTAAGACCAAGCTATACATTACTGGTCAAAAACACATGATTAGATATTGGAATGCATTAGTGTTCTAAAGACGTGATTCTAGTAGGCCTTCATGTCTGAAAAATCAAACTTATAAAACCATTATTTGTGTCTGAAAGATCAGTGAAAGAAACAAAGCAACCTAACATTGCAAACTGCGGATTGTAGGAAAAGATGATAAGGGGGCAATCAGGTACTTCTAGAATTAGCTTGAACTTTAGCTATTTGTATTGCTGGAATTCAAGGGTAGTAAAAAAATTGCAACGTAGAGGGAAAGCATGGAGCAAGGAGGAATGACAGATTCCCAGGATTACAAAATATTTTTATTGTTAATGAATTCACCAGCAACATAATAGTGTTTCTCATTTGCTTTGCTTTCCCTTCAGAGACAGTGTGTAAGACTGGGATGGTGCTACTCTGCGGCGAGATTACATCCAGAGCTGTGGTGGATTATCAGCAGATCGTCCGAGACACAATCAGGAACATAGGTTATGATGATTCAGCCAAAGGTTGGTGGGGAAAAAAAGGATACCTGTTGCAGAGGGGCAGGCTACTCTGACCATCTGAAAGCAGTAGAACAAGTCCATCTTGGTTTGCTGAGATAGGAGGAAGAAAAGCCTGATGCAATTCTGCCTGTGGATTGCTGGAACATTTTCACCAGATGAATTCCATCTGCTTTCATCAGGAAGACAAAACTTTATTGGGGTGGTTAAAGGTTATCTTGGGGTTGAAGTCATGGGCATCCTTTGCTGCTGAAGCATTTTGTAGCATCCTAGCTTTTCAAGTTAGACTCGACTCCATCAGATTAGTTGTTTGCCAAACTTGATCAGCTGGCTTTCAGACTTGCATGCATACCAGAGGCAAAAATGAAGTGTCTTTCTTACACATGAGTTGCCACTTATGAGTAGGCCTGCTGGCCAGTGGCAGCTTGTGATGTGGGATGGGGCAGGGTGCATAGAGCATCATGATATCTGGATCTTAGGAAGATACTATAGTATGTCTTAATTTGAGGGAGATAAGATAGAGAGAGTGAAGTAAATCTGTTATTTCCATTGTTTTAATGTTAAACATCTATTTAAAGCAAAATGTTCTGCTTATATACTGCCCCATCCATAGTGCTTAAAGCACTTTCTAGGCAGTTTACAATTTAGTGATGCAGGCTACACATTCCTTCCCCCACCCTCCTGTGAGCTGGGTACTAAATTTACCAACCTTGAAAGGATGGAAGGCTGAGTCAACCTCTGGTTGGCTACCTAGGATTGACCCTGGCTCAGGAGCAGAGTTTTGACTGCGGTACTGCAATTAAACCATTGCGTGATTAGGTTCCTCTGTAATATGGAATGTTAGCATTAACTTATCACATTTTCAGATGACATACAGTGGTGCCCCGCATAGTGACATTAATCCGTTCCAGGATTAATGTCGCTATCCGGAAACATCGCTATACGGAATGTAAAACCCCATAGGAACGCACTAAACTCTGTTTAATGTGTTCCTATGGGGCGAAAACTCACTGGTAAGCGAAGATTCCCCATCCGGTCGCCATTTTCACCACCTCGGTAAGCGAGAGCAGGGCGCGAAAACGCTGCGGGTGGCCATTTTATTCTTCTGGTGGCCATTTTGGAACCGTCGATCAGCTGTTTTTAGAACATCGCAATGCGAAGATCGGTAAGCGAAACGCTTACCGATCATCGCAATGCGATTTTCACCCATTGGAATCATCGCAATGTGATTGCATTAGCGACCGCAAAAAAAACATGTTGCTATGCGGATTCGTCATTAAACGGTGCGCTCGTTAAGCGAGTCACCACTGTACTGTATAGCAGCAGATGCATAGAGACAAAATGATACTCTCCCTGAGTGGTTCTGAATAAAAGTGGCAGCACAGTTGTGTAATGAAGCTTAGATTGCACAACTACAGTATATCCAGGAAGTAGTTGTCCTTAAGCAGAAAATAAGTAAAATCTTGTTCCACAACTTATCCCATGATGACATCATCAGCCACTACTTTTCAGAAATAAAAAAGCTTCAGTTTCCCCACTTCCTTATATGTTCCAAGGCTCTTGTGGATTCCCTTTTATTGTGGGGAAGTTGTTGAGGAGAACAGGACAGGAGAAGACATCTTTATTGTCTGGAAATTGATGCCAGTGGAACAATTTTACTGGTGGTGGCAATTTTCAGAAATTAAAAACTCTGTCTCCTGTATTTTGTTGTCTCCAATTCCTTCCCCTTGATGGAAGGGATCCTGTGGGAGCCTCAGGACCTTTGCTGGGGGGAAGAATTAAGATTTTTTTTCTTTATCTGGAAAGTAGCTCAGGGTGAGTTGCAAACACAGCCCCTGCTTGGTGTTTCCCTTCCACATTTGGTGAGAGCTAGCAGTGTTCCTCACTCAAGAAGAGCCCTGTACCTTGGGCAGTTGTGGGTGATTCTGAACAAGCTGAAATATCTGATACGGGGCCTTGGTCGGGCTGCTCGCCAAGAGATCTGCTTTTGAGCAAGAGCCTCAGGTCAGCTGCTGAGGGCAGAGCTCAGTTTCCCAAGCAGCTGGCTGAAGCCCTCTCTCCACCAGCCCCAGCCAGGAAAGCATGCAGCAGTTGCTTCTGTGTGGGCTGTGTTTCAAAGGTAGGAAGGAACTGACACAGTCAGCTTAATTCATGAGTCAAAGAACCCTGTTCTTTCCCTCGTCTGGTATACTGGGCTGCTTTCTCATGAGTAGTGTTTCCATTGTTTCCTATCTCTCCTTAAAGAACAGGCAGCCATGAAGGCATCCTTGGTCAGGACTGCTGACTGGAGAATGAAAATAATGCCTTGTAGGAGACAGATGGAGTGTAATGCCTTTTATAGCAGAAATAGGCAAAGTCTGCTCATTGTATCCTTGGGCAGGAAACCCCCCTCAAGCAGTGGTCAGAAATAGCGGGTCTTCAGTCCAACAATATCTGGAGGGCTGCACTTTGCTGACCCCACTTTAGAGCAAGGTAAAGGGAAACAGACTGCAGTCTCTCGTGTTGAATGGTTATGAATAGAGTTCTGGTTTTCTCAAAAATAGAAACTTAAAGATTTAAGGTGCCACAGAATTTTTGTCTCTTGTTTTTTGTCTGATATGCTTGCACAGACTAACAGCTACCGTATTTTTCGCTCCATAAGACGCACCTTTCCATAAGACGCACCAAATTTTTAGGAGAAGAAAACAGGAAAAAAATAATCTGCTTTCTTCTCCTAAAATT